ATTGATAATTAAAATGAGTATATGTTTCATAGTCACATATAGCTGGCGCCAGCATGTATCTTATTCATCATTAATCTCCGCGCCAAAAGGCCCACGAAGACACATATAACTGAGAAGAACGTTGAATCTGAATAGATTCGCCACGATGTGCTTTCAATTCTCAGATGATTTACATATGTGTGACAGCGTAACTTAGGATACATAGTGACTCCACAAGACTCTGTAAGAAAAACTTACCCAGTTTCTATAACTCTAACACCTAGTCTTTCAAAGTATCTCCTCAATAACTCAGCAGAAAACGATTCGAATCTATATCCCATTGCCTGCGACGTTTCTCCAACAAAGCGAAAAAATTCTGGTATCTCAAATTCTTGTATATCAAGTATAACAAACATTTTTGGTTCAGAAATATTTGCATGTATACATCTAAATAAAACTTTTATACCTTTTTCACTGGGAACATTTCACGATTGATTTAACAAAAGAACGTGCCTAAATTACTCGAATCGTACGTCACAAAAAAAGATTGTTATTAAATTATGACGAAAAACCATTTTTAGAATGTATTGAAAAGCATTTATCTTATATCTTTTTGATTGCATATAAAAACTTGCTTTATTTAACCTTAAATAGAAATGTATACTCAAAGATTATTTACTATATACGTAAGAAATGCAGGGACATGATCCTCTGTATGAGCTTTCGACTGCATTTAGTTTAGGACACTCTGAGGCTTTGCAACAGCTAAATAAATTATGCATGTGGAATGGCCTTCCATTTTATTATGTAATCAAGTTGTTTTTAACATTTTACATTAAGGCTGAAATAATAACGCTATATTTGTGGCTAAATGCAAATGAAAATATTCGATATGTGCCACGAGCTAATTGACCGAGTTTGGTTGGTAGCTTCCGTTTCTACTTGTGCCCCGACTCAAATAAATTATGCATAACAATAAGGCTTGTGTGATACAGATAAATTTATATCATAAAGAATACCTTTGTTACGTGGATAAATTATGGAAAATTTGTATAACGACCAAATCGTTTTTTGATTTATTTTTATTTAATATTAATTATTCGAGAATTTTCACATTCACATCGCTTATATATTCCCTCTGCTACTTTTTTGCATGTCCTACAATATAGGTGTGAATGGTGATTGCATTCGTCGCAAACCTTACACCCGTAATTCCACCCTCTAAAGATATGCCACTTTTCAAAGTGATTTTGTTTATTTGCGAGTATGTTATTCTGGTTTTTCATTGTCATATATAAACAGGAAAAATATAACGTGGCTAGATTTTTATATAAACCTGCTCTGTCTTACAAACAAATTATGCATGACTATAAGCCTTGTAAGATCTACATGTGGTATTTCGAATTTATTTCACGAGTTTTATTCGATTAAATATAAATGCTTTAGATTGTATGCCTATAAGCTTATGAATGAAATCCATTTTTAAAAATATTTGAGTAGAGTTAAAATGATTATTGTTATGCTTTTCTACTAGCCAATCAGGAAATAAGCCTTTAAAGTGTGGGTCTGCTTCATAATGCACTAATAAATTATCGATTACTGCTTTTTCTTTATTTATTTTTTTCTTCTGATCTTTTAAATAGTCATGAGACTCCCATAATTTTTTTTCTAAATCAAGATTAAAATTTATGCAAAAGCTATGAAGTACATCCATTAATTTATAATTCGTATCATAATTAGTTGTAAGTAATATTCCAAATATTTTATCAGCACGTTTTTGAACCATTGCTCGGCTTTCACAATACCATTTCTTATTGACTCGCATAACTCTACCAATATCCTTAAATAGAGTCGTTTCAAGAATTGTTACGAAGATTTCAGCTGGTAGATTATTAATATGCATTTGACTTTTTTTATTATAAGTATATTATTCTTTTATTGTTATATTAACAGAAAAAAATATATATACGTGGCTAGTAGCAAACTACGAATCTTTGATTCAAAATTTATTGTCTTTTAGACACTAGCTCCGCTATACTAACCTGTAATGCATAAAGCCAGGGTTATAACTTTAGATTTTTCTTTACGTAGTGAAGGTACATAAGTGTCACGTATTAATTTATTACATAACAGATAAGTTAAAACTGATAAATTATTACACGTCGACCTAAATTCAATACATGGCACAGTAATCATGTGATTGTGACCTTCAGAGGTCACGTCCACGTGACTTATACGAATGATTCTGTTGGGATTTTATCCGGAATTTGAGATATTACATAGTTAATTTGGTCTACGGTTAATTTAGCAATTGTCAATGCACTAAAAGATTTTACCCGCCCTATCTTACTTGTTCCTATCTTACTAAATATATGAAAAATCTTTTGGGCTCTTTCTTTTCTTTTCCGAATAGTAGTTTCAGAAGTACCATCAGGAAGTTGTTTTTCGATTTCTTTTTTAACTTCACTGTTAGCGTCATTTACATTATATGATTTTTCATAATAGAACTTGAAGCGTTTTGCTATACCTAATCCAAAGTTATAATACTGGATAATTTATTCTGGTTTGGTTTTTGGATTTTACTTTCAGCAGAGGTAATTTTAGTATATAAATTTAGAAAGTCAATAGGCAGTGGGTCGGTTTCGGTAGCTGTTACTGGGTAAGAAGTTATTGTATCTGTGTTTTGTTCAGAGGTGTTGGATGTTAATTCTGTAATAAGTTTTTTTACAGTATTGGAATTTTTTTTATCGCCTTTTTTTTTATTCTGTTTTGGTTTTTTATTGGATGATTTATTTTTAGTAGTATCTTCGCTTAGTCTTTTTTGACTCTGTTTTATATAGTCTGAAAATGGTAAGAAATCTGATAAGGGGAAATTTAAACTATGAGTTGTATCTGAGGTTACTGTATTCTGGTTTTGACTAGATGTCATTTGTGCCATTTGTGGCAAAATTTGCATTGGGTCTGAGGTATTCTGTGCCCGATCCTGTGAACTAGGTTCAGAAGTACCAGAATAACGTGTATAATCAATAGATTCAATTTCCATTGCACATTCAGGGCATTGTGGGAGATCTTTTACATAATCCTCAAGACAACTACGGTGGTATATATGTCCACAGACGAGTATGGTAAATGGTTTTTTAAGTTCGTACAAAAAAAGCTCTTCTTTACACCTTGGGCATGGGTCTAGTTTTGGAATTCCAATATCTTTTGCAATAGCATCTGGTGAGCTATTCTTAAGAATATTCAATGCAAGAGTTTTAAGACATGAAATATTTTTTGGGGTTGGGTCAGTAGACATATTCAAAGATAAAAATTTTTACGGTTGAGAGTTAGAATACGGTATAAAGGGTTATAGATGGATAAGTATTGCGGTTAATTATATACTCTGCTCATTTTTTATTCATTATGCACTTTCATGACTAACAAAACTAATTTGCAGATTAAAAAAACAATTTCGGATTTGGCGATCCGTTCATTCATGAATTAATTAGTATGAGAGGATCGTTCGATCTTCACTGGCAATCGTGAATAAAAATTTTAGCTTAAGGGTATCGAAAAAATAATTAATATAGTGAATGGAACCTTATAATGTTTCAAGGTATTTTATATTCGAATGTTTCTTCTCTGACGAATTTACTATCTTTTTCTTCAGAAGGCAACTTTCTGCTAATTTTATCACCGATTTTCTTGAGGAGCTTATCAGTACACCTAGAGACCCCCAAAAATCCTGGTTCAAGGTGACAATTAACTTTTTGCATTCCTACTTTAGCTTTGACTATCTTCACTTTCATGATAGCAATTATATTATGTATTATATATCTTTAGCCGAAAAAAGTTAACAATTAATTATGTCCTAAACTCCTTGCCATGAAATCTCCCGGAAGATACTATTAAATAAATTATTCCGTTCTGGGTCAGTCGTTCCTGATGATATTCTGATATAATTACTGAATACAGAAATAAAATCACTTTTATCAATTATACCGGTAAAGATTGGATTAGGTGGAGGCAGATATGAGCTCATAGGATTCTCTTCTAGATTCTGTTCATTAGATGTGTTTTCACCTCCCGCTCTGTGTATTGTCATCGGATCAGAATCAGAAGTATCAGACGATTCAGAATTGGACCATTCATATGATGAATCGTAATTTTCAATATGTATACTCGGATTAAGTCGTTTTACAACTTTCTTACTAACATTTTTTTCACAGCCATCCAAATCAAGATATTTTAAATTAGGACACGAACAGGTTATTTCTTTAATGGTTTTATCAGAAATTTCACAAAATCCAAGTTCAAGATGCTGAAGTTTGGGACATGATTGAATAACATTACATACTGATGGTTCGATAATGAATCTACACCCTCCAAGATCAAGATATTCCAATTCATAGCATGTACTAGCTACTGCTTCAACAACCTCATCTCCGATATCGTTATCAGAAATATCAAAATGTTTTAAATTTGGAGAAGATCTGATAATAGCTACAATAAGGGAATCATTTCGAAAAGCCATAACATAGGCGAAATTAAGGTACTCTAATTTGAGGTGCGTTTGTAATAATATACTAGCATCTTTGATTTTTTCACGACTACCCCATATACCTAAGCATCGTAAATTAGAGCATGAGTTTAAAATACAACTTACAGTTCTATCAGTAATCCAATACGCTTCATTAAAATAAAATTCTCTCAAATTATGGCACGACTTTGTAATTTTTATAAATGATTTGTCAGTAATACCATTACAATAAGAAATATTTAGATATTCCAATTTATTGCATGATTGTGCAATTTGACATAGTCTTTTATCAGTTATTATTCGATTATCCTATAAATTAAGATGTTTTAAATTTGAATATGATGAAGCTATTTTAATTAATGTCTTATCACTAATGTCCACGCACTTTTTAAAGTCTAAATGAATTATATTTGTGCAGTAATTTATGATAGATCTAATTAATTTGTGTGTAATTGAATGATAATGTGAAATTTTTAAGCTTTTCAGGTTTGAGGTATAGACAGGTTTTTTCTCCTTGTATATCAGCTTTATGAAACTTTCTAACCGCGTTCGATATCGTTCACAATAATTATATTCAACTGAGAAATAATGTCTGTAATGAATATCATTACCTTTTAACTCAACTCTCCCCCATAGTAGTGGTATACCACACTTGTACCAAAGCCGATTAACAAACAAAGCGGGATAGAGGGATCGATCAATTTCTAAAAAATATAAGATCTGTTCTAGTAATTCAGGTAAGTTAAAAATATTTAGTTGCACCATTCCCAAATAATGTATATCTCTAATCGAAAAAAACCAATGTTTGGATAATTAATTTTGGGCACATATACTACGCATTTTTAAATTCGTATTAATAAAATAATTTAACATTTACAATGATCGAAACTGATAAAGCCGTATCCCATATCACTAAACAGGTCAGGTAAAAAAATCTTTTATAATTATTGATTGCAGAGATAAAATCTGTTCTATTTAATGATGGAGCTTATTCATATTTTGATAGACCCTTTGGATCATTGCTTTGCAATAATACTGATCTTGAGCACATTTCATAAATAATCCATTAACTCGATAAAGCCATTTAATTACTGCATGCTGAATTATTTTAACTGAATTTATTTGTTTTTTCCATAAACAATATATCTTCCGGATAATTAACGATGTATGATTTTCTTTATATAATGCTAGTTGAACTTTAAAATCCCTATAATTAGAGTTATTACCTATTTGCTTATGGCTGGTCAAATTATTTTTGATACGAAATACAAAATTTTCTTAGTAATCTCTACTATTTATTTCATATCCTAGTTTTAATAAACGCTTGTATATGTATTTTGGTGGATAATATCTTGCAAACCGTAACCATACTTCTGGTGTTTTTAGATTGTTGATATAGTTTAAACCATATTCGGTTAACATATATCGGGTATAATTATTTTTTGTCCATTCTTTAACAATATCTATTGCGAAGCAATGGCTCTTCAAGCCTTGAATATTGGGCATGTTTATATTTCAAATACATAGATTTTATTAACTAAGACTTTTTATTTAATTCTTATATTTATTTATTATCATTCAAAAAATAGATTTATATATTAAGTATAACAATTTGGTTGGGTGTTTATTCTTCCAGAATTTTACAATCCCCATATAAATATGTCGTTACATTATCTTGAGCTATCCACAATTTTGAATCAAATGGGTTAATACTTCTCTTTGTTTGTGTTATCCTATACATTTGATGACCGTAACTTCGATGCACCATATTTTGAATAAAGGCAAGTGATAGTAATAAATAATTTAGTATAAGATATCAAAATAATTAATCAAAAAAATTTTATATCCCATATTATACTCACATAATTGCTAATGCTCTAGTCTCATTGAGTGGGCTAGACTCGATGATTCCGATTGCATTCAAGACGACAAGACATACATTTCCTTCAATATGACCTAATTTATTATCAATTCAATCTACCGTCCATTGATCAGGATTTCCAGCTTCATCCCATTCCCACAACATTTTATTGAGGCATAATTCACATTTATTTTTTTGCAAATCTTTTAATACAAGGATATAATCAACAGATAAGTTAAATTCACAACCTTTTTTCTTATCTTGATCCATATATCCTACGAGTTTTTCAGAAATAAACGGTCGCAATGAACGTTCGATAGCTTTCTTATTTTTTGCTTCCTCAATCTCAGGAGGTAATGAGGGACCTTCAATCCGAATAAGCTGGCTCAAATATTCTACACGACCAACTGCGAGATATATTAGATTATCCCATACCAAATGTTCATCAATAACCCAAACTCGTTGTGGAGCTTTGAGAGTCATTCCCTGACTGGTATAAATGGTCATTGCATATCCAAATTCCCAATCTATAGCCTTTTCTTTTCCTAACATGCCTTGTAAGAATTTATCAGAAAGTGTATTTAAGGGTAAGTGTATTATATCATTTTTTACTAGCTCTTTTTTCTCAGATGAGCCAGGGATTGGAACAAGGCAGTTTTGTTTGCGCCCATCTTTTGGCCTATAAATCAATAGGATTGGAATTTTGGAATATTTTGTACAATGAAGCTTAAGACATATTTGTGATGCAAGTCTTCGAGAAAGTCGATATGCTGATAGAATTCGATCTGAAGGAGACTATTCCTTTTCAAGATATTTTCATTTTTCTATAACTGGAATTGCTCCACGAAATAAATTTGATTGCACCCGATTATTTTTACGACACATTCCCTTTTTGAGTTCACGTAATTTAGGACATTTAGCCCGATAATCAGTCAAGACTTCTTCATAATAATCGGCACGCTCTTTTAGCCAGTTATGTGGCATTTCTCCAAAGAATGGTGGAGATTAAGCATCATCTCCACAACAGATTACCTGGCATTTCTGTTCTAACAAATAGTTAATAAACATCTCAAGAATATGTTTAGGAACTGTACATACCTCATCCCAGATAACTATTCAGAAAAATTTCTTTTCTCTCATACGTTCGGGCGTCCATTCTCCCATGCCATTCCATCTAAAGAAGCTATGCCAAGTTTGAGCTTTCACTTTACGATCATTCTGAAAGTTTTTGGCCAATGCATTCATATGAGTAAAGACTACCATGTTTATGTCTTTAAAAATTTGGATTGCACGTGTTGTCTTTCCAGAGCCTCCTCCTCCATTAAGATAAGAAACTTGAGATCTTGTAATAGGATCATGAATTGATGGAGCAGTACTTTCAGTAATATTTTTGATCGATTCCCAATGCCTATTCTTTGGCCAGTATACAATATCTGCTTTGGACCATATATTTTTTCGCCCTTGTCATGCCATTAACCGGGTTGAATTTCCCAGATTTCTTGTTCTTCTGGTTGATGTAAGAGAGCATAGGAGTTTGGTCTATAAAACCATTCCCCAAAGCAAAATCTGCAAATATATGGTTTATGCCTTTTGCAATCATTTTTTACTAGAAGCATTTTGGTTTTTAGAAACTCTTTAATCTATTTTGCATATTCCGATTTTGAAATAAAGAATTCTTCTAGATCAGTACATATTGCACAAGAAGGATAGTGTGAACATAAATTTGGATCCGACTTTATCTCAACTTGGTTGAAGAATGCCAGTATATTTTCGATCTTATATAATGCCTCTTTTTGTACATATATAGAATCTGTAGCAATCCTTACTACTTCATTAGGATCGAATCTCCAAAGCATCTCTAACAAATTAATATGTGCATATGCTAACATTGAAGCCTGCAGATGTGTGTACTGAGGCTGATGACCCTCAAAATATGTAAGTATAAATCCGAGTGGGCATCTTTCTCTTCCAGCAAAAGTTCCAGCATCTGTACAATCTTTTATTAAGAAATCAAGTTTACCTTCATCCATTACAAGACGATGAGTAAGTCGTTTTTCTTCATTTTTCTGCCCTGTGTAAACTTATCTATAATTGCACAACTAATATTTCGATTTTTTGGTAACTATACTTTAGTCTGCTGTGTAAGAGAGATAATTGCCTTTCCAATAGTTAAGTCTTCTAGAATACCGGTTTCAAGAAGATATTGTAACAATACTATTGGAGTCCATCCTTTATTTTTTATGCATCCTTCTCTACTACGACATGCAAAATGTTTCCATACCAAACTGGGATTACTGGATGTATGTTAGAAGTGAACTTAAAAGAATTTACTTGTACAAATCCAGTAATATCATCTTGGGGCAATTTTCCATTTACTGCAACTTGGACAAGATGATGTGTTGGATGCCCAAATCGATTAAACCATGGTGTACATTCTCCTTGGCCTCGCATACTTGCTAGATAGCATTCTTTCATATCAATACATATGATATCATTAATGTGATAATTGGGTGTATTCCAGCGCCCACCATGCCCATGTTCAACACAGGCTCGTTTTATATTTTCATTTATTTTTTCAGATATTGGATACCACTTATTAATCTCATTGGCCAATCGACTTCCAGCGTGATTTGCTCCAAATACTTGTTCTGCTAAATCAACTACTTTGAGAGACTCTAAAAGAATCGATCTTTTTTTTTCATTAATTATATTCTCTTGATATTGCCAGTTTATTGCATCATTAACCAATTGTTTGCATGCTTCTATAATTTCTATATGTTTTTTCCATGTTCTAAATGTGCAACCATCTTCTAAAACAAATTGGGATATTCTTTAGGTTTCATCTCCCACTCCCATAAGCCAGATTGCTTGAGGTCCTTGAAGGGCATTATTGATAGCTTCCCAAGTATCGTCTTTATAATATTCAACCATTCGATTTCTTGGAAAATGCTGGTTTCTTGGAAATGCATGGCCATTATGAACTACCATCTCTATTTCTTCATACTTACCTGATCGGTATTTTTTACTATTAAAGATAGTACCATAAGTAATATCCAGTAATGTAATTGATCGCTTGAGAATTTTTTCTAACTCTGCTATATCATATACTCGAGCACCTGGAATGCGCATTTTTTTCTCCCAATCATTTATTTTTTGCCGACGAATTTTTGTGAGTCCATGT